GGGAGGGATGCGGAGGGTGCATGCTTTAGGCGACCCCTGTGATTTGGTTGTTCGACCCCTGCCAGGGTTGCGACCCACAGGTTGAGAACCGCTGTTTTAATGCATCTTTATTTTATACCGTCTTTTTCTTCATGTGCAGTCCATTACTATATTAGAATACTTATATATGTTTTTTCTACTACATTACCCTTCCAGCACCTCCTCAACTGTTATTATCTTCCCTCATTTTTAAAAATCAAATAATCTTTTCCAATCTTGAACTAAATCCAAATTTGACTATATGTGCTATATGCCTATAGCTTAAATACTGTAGCACTTTTCAAAGAGGTAGCTGTGTTTATCTATTTCATGGCAAAAAGGTATGTTTGTAGTAGAATTTCCAGTAATCAGACCAAGGAGATCCCGAAGTCGAACGAAAAGTCAGCAGTTTATTTAAGTTGCAGCAAGTCTCCAGAGGAATATAATTTCCAAATTCTGGAGCCCTGAGGTACAGATGAACTACCTTTTTATAGTATTTTGAACAAAGAAACTACAAGTCACATTATGATTGGTTACATTACAGATAACATATATGCTTGGTCTACATTCATTTGGATACAGTACATATACATTTCTTGGCCCTGGTGGTACTTGGTGGTATTATGGACAGTTCTTATCTTTGCATGTTTTCAATCATTGTCTCCATATGTCTCTGTGCAACATCATTGCTTTTGGGTAACACTTAGTACCAGGACACTAAGGGCCGATGCAGATCGGCACTATAGGCCGGCCTGGGCGTGGAGTTGGGGAGGGGCAACTGCATGCTGGCTGCCCCGACTCCACCACGACGACACCCTGATGCTGTGCGCCCGTCCGCACAGTGATGGCATCATGGCGCCCTTTTGGCGCAGTGTGCCCACACGCTGCACCAAAAGGGCACAAAAGAGCCTAGGTGGTGGCTCTAAGGGTAGCCTTTTGCTGCCCTCAAAAGGAGCTGCATTTTGCTGCTCTTTTGGGGGGCGGCAAAAAGGAGGATTTGGGCCACGGTGTGTGGTTGCCGCTGCCCCAATCCGCTGCTCCCAGGGGCGGCCGAGACCTGCCCCAAACAGACCATCTGCATCGGCCCTAAGAGGTCCTGAATTCAAGGCTTGCATTCTGCGAGGCCACTTTGGGCTAGAACAGATTGGCCAAAAGGGCCAGCCTGGGGGTGGAGTCAGGGCATGGTGACCGCACGCCGGCCGCCCCAACTCCGCCCCCATGTCCTCCTCATGCCGCCCGCTCAAACAGATGGTGTGCGGCGTCAGGGCACTCCCTTGGCGCAGCGTTTAGACATACTGCACCAAAGGAGCGCAGAAGAGCCATGGTGGTGGCGAAAAGGGTGGCTTTTTGCTGCTCCAAAAAGGAGCGGCATTTGCCAGCTCTATTTGGAGCGGCAAAATGCTGGATTGGGGATGCGGCGTGCAGTTGCCACGGCCCCGATCCGGTGCTCCCAGGGGTGGCACGGAGCAGCCCCTTAGGGGCCATCTGTACAGCCCCTTTAACCTGGTCTGCTATCTATCATTCAGGCAGCATTTGGTCTAAGACATTTCAGCTACTTTCTTACTATTAAGCATTTTAAATATTTTTTTTATATTTAGTCCTCTCCATCATGTTGAGAGTATCATAGAATCATAGAATCATAGAATCATAGAGTTGGAAGAGA